CTCCCTCAGGGCCTTTGCCTGCCTTTAAACGCCTCTTTTAAACACCGTTGGCGGCCCGGTGCCGTTGTGTAGGTCCCTGACCCCGTGTCTGTGTTACAGGGCGAACGTGACGGTCACGGACCTCGAGGAGCTGCAGGAGCTGCTGATGGTGAATATAGAGAACAACAAGCACCTGGTCACAGGGTCAGTCCGAGCCAAGGTACTGAAATGGTTTGTATGAACCTTTAATGTCTCTGTTCGGCTTTAACGGGGCTAGAATTGAAAGAGAGTTGATTTAGGTTAGATACTAGGAAAAAAATTCTTCCCTGGGAGGGTGGGGAGGCCCTGGCACAGGTTGCCCAGGGAAGCTGTGGCTGTCTCTGGATCCCTGGAAGTGTCCAAGGCCAGGTTGGACGGGGCTTGGAGCAACCTGGGATAGTGGAAGGTGTCCCTGCCCACGGTAGGGGGTGAGACTGGATGATCTTAAAGGTCCCTCCCAATGCAAACCATATTCCTATTTGTTCTGTGTTCTGTGGTTCTGTAATTCTGTACTGGCTTTGTTAAATTGCTAAATATACTTCAAAACATCACTGTGTTAAGGGATGCTTAATTTGAAAGCACAGTTAATTTTATACTCAGTCCTTTAGTTGTATGTGTTGTTGCTGAAGCTTGTTTTCACTTTTTGTTGGTTTGTTGTTTTTTTTTTCTTGTTTGTTCTTTTTAGGGGAGAAGATGTAACAGAATTTCAGCCTCCCCCTGATTATATACTCATGGCTGATTGCATTTACTATGAGGAGGTAAAGAGGACTTTGCAAAACCCCTAAGGAAAGGTTCCTTGGGAAGGGGGGATGGATTCAGTGTGTTTAGTATGAGAAGTGTTCAAATAAATAGTGTGTCTTGGTCCCTGTGATTTTGAGGAATACATAGAACAAGACTGAAAAAGGCATTTTGAATAGATTCAGGGCCATTTGAGTTTCAAACAGGGACTTTATGTTAAACCCCAAATTTAATGTTTATTCCTCCCCCTTTTTTTTTTACATTTGGAATGAAGCGTAAGGCAAAAAACACTGAACTGTTGGAGTCATTGGTAAATGAAATGTGAAAGTGCCACATCTGCTCAGTTTGGGTTCTCCTCGTGCTTCCCTTGGGAAGGCAAGAGTAGGAATCATGCTTCAGCTTTGTGGTTGTTGTAGTCTGACCCACGTCCTCAGTTGGAGTTCTGTGGGATGTACATGGAGAGCTAAGAGAAGCTGCAGGAAAAGGGAGATGACCTGAAGAACCCCATGTCCCAGTGCCCTTCCAATGGTTTTACCAGCCCCTGGCATTGACTCCCTGCATGCTGGTCCCGTTTCCATACGTAGTGGTCTGGATCTGAGCCATATTCCAAGAATAACTGAGAAAACTCTCACTTTTGAAAAATGTCAGGAAATACTGTTGTGCCTCAAGGAAGTGCCCACTCAGCAGGGTGGGATGGTTTTGGCTTTGGTTGTAGCTCAGTTTTCTTGGTCAGTCTGTGAAACTCTTCTCCTGTGCAGTCTCCCTTTCTCCTCTGCTTCCCAGCTTGCCCCCACGTTCTTCTCGTCCCAGTTAAAGCACTAAAAATAACTCCCTGCAAAGCAAAACTGGGAATTTCTCTCTTGGGTGAAGACTTTAGCTGGAGGGTATCGTTCCAGGGAAACGAACTTGAAATCCAAGTGGGAAATGTTTAACCTCTTTTGGGCAGTCGTTGGAGCCGTTGCTGAAGACGCTGAAGGACCTCACTGGCCCTGACACGTGTGTCTTGTGCTGCTACGAGCAAAGAACCATGGGGAAGAACCCTGAAATCGAGAGAAAATACTTTGAAGTAAGTGGGTTTCAGCACATTTTCTTTTAGGCTGTTTCGTTGAAAGCAGAGGGGAAAATACAGAGAGTTTCACTCAGGAACTCAGCACTCTCTTCTGAGTGATGGAGCTGCTCTTGGAAAAACTGTTGTCCTCTACTGAGGTGATTTAATTAAATGTTCCAGCTGTGTCACGTGTGCAGGCAAAGGAAAGAAACAGGGGGAACACCTGGATCCCTCCCAGGTGTGGGATGGTGGTCAGTGCAGATTTAACTGTGCACCTGTGATGGCTGTTGAAAAGCATTATATGCAGTAGTAGTAGTAATAATAATAATAATACAATAAAAAGGGGAATGGTGAGAATGCCAGGTTGATTTGTATGTGTTCCTAAAAGCACCTGTTTCATAATTAGCTGTGCCTCTCACCCTTGTGGGGCCCTGGCTGTGAGGAGGGCTGGGCTCGGCTCTGCTGAGGTGCCACTCCCACAACAAACAACAGGTGTGGGTGTTTCTGGCTGATTTCTGCTTTTTTTTGTGATTTATTTCCTTCCTTGGCTTGCCAGGTGCAGCCCAGTTAATCTGAGCGTGTCCCAGAGCCCACGGTGGGGTGGTTTAGCCTGTTTTTTCCCCTCTCTTCCACTCGAGAGGGTTGGCAGACAGAGGCAGGTGCTGTGGTTTGGCTCAGCGCTTCAGAGATTGGGGGAAGCAAAATCTTGGAACCACAGAATTGTTAAGGTTGGAAAAGTCCTCTGAGATCATCAAGTCCAGTCGTTCCCCCAGCACTGCCAAGGCCACCATTAACCCGTGTCCCCAAGTGCCACATCCACACATCTTTTAAATCCCCCCCAGAATGTTTTAGCACAAGCTTTATATAGATTCTTCTGAAGTGTCACAAGGTGTCGTAGCTTTGAATTGGTGCTGGGGTGGTTAAACCAAGGGTGAATGTGCTGCACTGGGTGGGAAAAATGGCTTGGATGGTTGTAGAGGCCTCTGTGGAATCATCCTGTGTGTTCTTGGACAACCAGCTGCTTCAGATGGACTTCGAGCTGGAAAAAATTCCCCTGGATAAGCACGACGAGGAGTATCGCAGCGAAGACATCCACATCATGAACATCCACAGGAGGCAAACGGTGGGTCCAGAGAATCCCAGAATCCCAGAATGGTTTGGGTTGGAAGGGACCTTAAAGATCGTCTTGTTCCATGGTTTTGGCACTGTGGTGCTCAGCACCTCCAAGGGCTGGTTCGATCATTTTGGGGTTAATCAATGAAGCACAAAGAAAATACTTTGCATATTGTGCTGACACAACATGTGGGTTCAGTGCTTGTAAATCCATGATTTTTGTAAAAATCTCTTCACAGAATTTTCCATCGTGAGGCCTTTGACCGCAGGATGTGTCCCTCTGGCCAGAGCTCTGGAGAAGAGGGAGAAGGGGGTAGGATAACACCACAGAGGGACTGTCTCCGGTGTGGTTGGTGACTCATCCACACCAAACAGCTTCTCCCTGGTGGACTTGGCACGAGGCACCAGGGGTGGGCTCAGCAGCTGAGATCTCCTGCAGGACAGATGTGGGCTGGCCATGCCTGTGGGCTGAGGAAGGCAGGAAATGGGACTGGAGCTTCACCTGGAGCAGCCCAGGATGTGTGTTCTGGTACCTCTGCTGGGCTTGTTGGGGCAGCGCTGCCGAGTGCTGGCCGAGCAGATCCGAGGACACCACACCCAAAACTGGGCCAGGCAATAAAACTTCTGCACCCGGGATGGGTCTCGGATGGTGGGTTGTTCTTTCATCCTGTGTCATTCCTGCAGAGCTCCTGTGAGTCTCATCCCAGGAGCTGGGGCTGTCGTGGTGGTGGTTCCTACATGGACACACCACACCTGTGTGCAATCCTTGTGCCTTTTGTTCCCACCTGCACTCTTGGGTGGAAAGCTCTGCAGCTCAGCTTTGACACCTTCCCGTTGTTCTGGTGCGCAGGGTCGCCGTGGCTCTTGGTGTTCCCACCACGCTGCCTCTCGCAGCACAGTGGTGGCTTTGAGGTGTCATTTCAAAGGAATTCTCGCTTCTCTTGGTGTTGGAGCAGCTGTGGGAGTTGGGGCTGCGACAGAGGTGCTGCTTGGCACAGTTATGGGGTTTTCTCCAAAAAACTGGGGGGTTGGGAGGAGTTTTGCAGGTTCCCAGGTGTTTTCTGCACCTGCCCCGAGCTCGGGCTCCCTTTCTCTCCAGTAGGAGCGTTCCTTGCAGACTCCACACATCCTGAGACACTGTCCTGGCTTGCCGAGCGCGGCAGCGACGATTAGCGGAGGTGAGAATGTAATTTGTCAAACCACACGTGTTATTTGTTACCTCGTTGTGAGAGGAGCTCCTTAATTACCCAGTGGCCTGCAGGAAGGGATTTACCGGCGTGTTCAGACCAACATGGCTTCCCAGCTGGAAGCTCTTGTTCCAAAAGCATTGTCCAGTGTGTCCCAAATCCTGGTGGTGGGGGGGATGGTGTCCCACTGGGCCAGGTGCTGAGGGTGATAAAGGGGGCAGCAGCCTTTCCCAAGATTTTGGAGCTGGTGGAGTAACTATTTTGCCTACAGGATGTGCAGTTTCCGCACTGCCTTTTGCACAGGACTCGAATCTCTTGCTCAGAAGAAAAAGGGAGGAAGTTGTGCTTTCTCTTCCTCGTTGGCTGCTGCTCTGTGCCCTCAACTGTGACTGTCCCTGGCTGGTGACAGGGACCTCGTGGGAGGAGGGCTGGGCCCCGTCACCCCCTGTGTCACCTCCCGTCACCCCGCGAGGGGGATGTACAACCCAACCACTTCTGCTGCTCCGTGGGGAGGGAACTGCCGCTAACCTGGGCAGCAGGGAGGGGCCACCACATGACATGGCTGCTGCTTTTCGGGGACAAAAAAGGGCTTTTGGAAAAGGGGATGGGATCGTACTGCGGCTCAGCTCCACTGTGTCTGAGCAGGCTGGTGGTGCCTGCTCTGAACTAGGAGAGGGTGTCGGGGTTCTTGTGGAAAACAGGATGTGAGGGAAGTGCTGGTCCTTCTTGGTGACCTCTCTGCTCCCTCACCTGTTTGGTTTGTCCCTGTTGGCTTTTTGTCCCGTTTCCTTGGAGAGATGGGGTGTTCTGGTTCCATTAGACACAGGGGCTCTTCAGCAAGGTCTGACTTTGCTGGAGTCGGGCTCTGTTCAACCCCTTCTGCCAGCCCAAATCTGTCCAGCTCTTTCCACACAGGAGAGTGCATCCCAGGGTGTGCAGCTGCTTCCAGGCTGGCTGTGGTGAGAACTGGCAGCACCAAAGCCACCACATCCTGTGCTTCATCTTGCCAGAATTTGGTTACACCCTCACAAGGGAGAGCAGGAAACCTCCCCACTCCGCTGCTGTGGGAGCCGGTTTGGTGCCACAGGCAGAGACGTTTGGGACACCGGGGCGTTTGCCTGGAGTCACACTTAAATCATGGATGATTTTCTGGAATGGTTTCAACACCAGCTCGAGTGATGGGAAAGTGTGTGGGATGTGGGTGTGGAGGTGATTTTTCCCGGGAGACCTGTGGTGCTCCTGTGCCGGGGCGGCATCGCCTCGTACAGCCTTGGCGGGTGGCTCGGATTGGTCTCTCCGGTGTCACCTGTGTCTCTGTGACAGTAATGGCAGTGCCACCATCCCATGGCCCTGCTGGGGCTTTCCGGGGCTGCTCACCCTTTGCTGTGACAGCCGGCGTAGCTTTTCCACTTCCCCTCGGATCCACGGCGCGTGCGTGGCCCGGGAGGGAGCTCAGTGTGTGGTGGCAGCTGCATAAACCACTGGTGGCTTCTTGTCGCGATACCAGTCACGACAGGGCTCAGACAGTGCAGGGCCTGCGATGCTCCATCATTATTTTTTCCCTTTCCTAGGAAAAGCTTGGAATGCCATGCAGCTGGCGCAGAGAGTGCCGGTGTCCCAATCCATCCATCCATGAGTGATTCCCAGTGCTGCTGCAGAGCCCCCTGGGACTGTGTGGGAGCAGGACCTGCGCCCACACAATCCCACGGGACTGGTGGCTCCGCTTGGGAAAGTCTGTCCCCTGCAGCTCTGTAATCATTTTCCGTGGCATGTGATCCTGGACAAATGGGTTTTCCTCTTGGAAAATGATGCTTCTTGCCTGCAGTGTTAAGAGAGAGTGTTGGAAAATGGCTTTTATTCCAGAGGATCC